TATTTTCCAGGCGCAATATTCTCCTCTCGTCTCTTAGATAACTTTGCATATTACTTGAATCCGCTCTGGAAAACTTTCTATTCTTTATAACTAAGACTTCAAAGGATACAAACAATAAACTTAAAACTATATGGTACAAGCGTGTCGTCGCATACAATAAAATATCTTTGTATCTGAATGACTTAAGTACCTATTGGATTTTAAATACTTTGAGTTGTCGGTTAAATCGAATAGAAAGTTGTCGCGCTTGTCTAGCGCATCGATACACGCATTCGCTACGTCGTGCCTTAATATCTTAAAAATAAAATTGGACGTTGCAAAAGCACTGTAAATGTGTAAAACGGGATGTGTGAGCGATTTCTGTGTGAAGACGCTCGATGGCAAATATCTTCAAACTTGAGCAGTGATATACCGTATTGTACCGTAATTTGATCCACATATTTATAAGAGATCCGTTAGTCTAAGATTTCTGTTCGATCCCAGGGCTCCTACTTGTTTTTAACATTTCAAATTTAATCATTTTCAAAATATTTGAAAACCTACCACATCTGCCATGCTATTTGCGTGCTACTCCTTAATTACTATAAAATTGTATGCGTCCGCCAATCGTTTGACAATCGTAAGCAATACTAGTGGGTTTATAGCGGTCAGGCCTGGACTAATTTTAGTTTTTTTTTTGTATTTTGAGATTCAGCAAAAGCAGAATCGAATTCACCCGATAGCCAAAATAAAGGTAAGTACCTAAAATTGTAGCTTATGTCTATAATTTTAAGTTACTTTATTTTCACATAGAACGTATTAATATTAGACAAAACACCATAATATTGTAGATTTTAAGGTGCAATTTAGTAAACCCTCAAATTTGGCAAAAATAGTATTTTAAAAAAAACAACATCAAACGTGATGTTATGTATACTCGATATAATAAACAGTTGTGCGTGACAACATGCGATACGCTGTACAAGTACGCTTTGTTTAATCACGTACAAACGCCACTAAAGCACTGTACTTAAAAAACCCTAATAATAACCCTAATGCTTTTTGACAGCCTAAATGAGATATTTTATTTTGGGCCAGGTCTATGTACAGGTACACATTCCTAAAAAATTGGATAAACAACAAACATTCAAGAAAAATAAGAAAAATTGTTTCTTTACCTAATTTATTGGTACAATGAAGATTAATGCGGCGATTTTGCCGATGTCTTTATTAAGTCTGTGGTAATATTAGTAATGGAAACATAGTAATTTCAAAAATGTAATGTGTAAAAAAAGCGTAAGAAAACTAAAGCATAATAAAATTAAACTATAGTAGCTCAAAGAATATTATGGGGTAATAATTTTATTTATATGTTAGGTAAAAGAGAACTTGAAAGATTTTGTTGAGTACTGAGCTGTTATTGTATTTCTGAGCTTTTGACACTTGACACTAGTTGACACATGACTGACAGTGACGTTAAGTTTCCTAGACTTGATATACTACAAACTTACGTTGACAACTATCTTCGCTATTGTAGATTTTGAATGCCATTATTAACTTTAAAAAATTCTGTGCCGCAAAATAAAGCATAATATGCAAATTTTAATTGTCGGAGTCACCTATGTTCTTGATTTTCTTTATTTGTAGATTATGTACAAGACCTATCCCAAGTTCCAAATAAATATGAAACATCTCCTTTAGCACAGCACTAGAATTACTAACAAAGTGCCCTTATTCACTGTTATACTTAATAACAATAATTGAAACCCCGAATAAGGCAATCTTTATCAAATATATAAAATACCACCAGCACCACTTCGATTCGAACCGGCACCTTCCGCAATCCGAGCGGACGAACTAACAAATTCTTATTAAATTTACCTTCATTAGCCCTGCGGGGTTATTATTATTGTACAGAGTTAAAAAGCTTACTACTTATAATTTTAAGTTTATCACTAATTTTTAAACTTGAAGTTAGTGTTCATTTGTAAATAAACATGGCGACTTTTATAAGGCTTTACTTTATTCACGCCGTCCCAACTGCTCAAATACGAGCTATACAGCTAGCTTCTTAATTACAATAACGACAGGTATTTTAAGACCAAAAAAATCTTAACTAGTTACCAACTTGAAAACATCTGTTGAATACACTTGTAGAATCATAATGAAAGTTTCGCTGTTCATCGCTGCTATTAAGTGGATCATATTAAATATATAATAGTCATCCGTAATAATGAACTCACGAATTTTGCCAATGTTTCTTCAAGATTCGCTACTTAAATATCATCTTCATATAGGCGATTCGAAACTGAATAAACTTTGTATTTTTCTATCCATGCATGCATTATATTTAAAAGCTTTTGGTCTAAAAATATTAAAATAGCTGTAAATTACACAAAGTTATTACCTTCTCCAAGGAGAAGTTGATATTGACGAAATACTTTTCATGAGTAAATATAACTATGAAAGAATATAGGTCATACGCACCTACAAATCTTCCCATGCTATATTTCATAAAAGATCAACTTCTAAACTACCCGCCTGTTTTTTTAGCGGAGTGAGATATTTTACGGACGTATGAAATATCATAACTGGAGAACGGAGTTTAGTCCGTCATCATTTTATGAAAGAAAATACGTAGTTGTTATTAGGTTTATAAACAAAAAGAATAAGGGCGACTGTTATACTAAATACCAATAATTGAAACCCCGAATCACTATATCTGTAAAGAACATTATTCCTAATATTTGTAGCCCGAATGCACGCTATCCGTAAAATCTTTAGAATTGATATTATTTTTCTGGCGCTTCGCCGGCCACTGGCGCGGCACGCTCGCTTCGCTCGCTCGTCTGGCGCGTTATGGTCACAACACAAACCTAACCTGACCTAGTGTGAAGTATCACCACTTGGGCCCTGGAAGTACAGTTTAGCTCGCCTCAAAGTTAATTGAAAACATATAAATTTACTTTTCATTAGACAAAGTCATTTAGGTATACCCTCAAAAATGCTATAAAATAATACGTGATTTCGTACGTTGTAAGTAAGTATACTTAGTATTATTTAATAATTAAGTTTTCTTAATACAAATTTGCCACGTTTGACAGCAGAGTTGGATTTATATATTTTCAACTTGTCAAGATCTTGAGGTTTACTGGAATTAAATAACTACAATTTATCTGATGAAGGTACTTAAATAAAATCAAATCAAAATTTTATAAATAAAATAGATATTAGAGATGTATAATAAAAACGTTTTAATTCGATATTTTATCAGCTTTTTTTGAAAATTATAATAATACTTAATACAAAATTTAACTCTTTTTCGAGTCCTTTTTATATCGAAAGTATATCGTATGTTCTTAAAAAGTTATTGCAATTAAAAAATGTGATATAGTTTTGCCGGTCCGTGTAATTGCACTAATAACAGGAAAACTGTATTAATATGATCAAAGATCTTTAAAATTTGACCTTTATTTCAATAAAGTAGGTAGACCATCTTCTAGATAAAATTCTAATTATGTCGTTTGAATTTCGAACTAACTTTCAAAATCGTTAATATAACACAAGCTCTTTCGATCGATTTCTTGATATCTTTGTATAAACCAGGGAAATCCGGAATCTATGGGAAAACTCCATAGAATATATCGTCTTCAGTATAATCAAATCCGGCAATTATAATTGTTCTGAAAATAGGGTGTTTATTTCCTGGGATACGTTCATTTATGCGGAAGCCTACCGTGATTTGCAATGGTTGTAAGAATAAATTAGGAATCACACTGAGTGATAGCACCTACCAGGTATTGCTTTCCCCTAATTTCTCGTGATAACCATGGAATATTTGGTGGTATAGTTAACTTAGGTTTCTGAGTACGTAATTCTTAATTGATTGTTATTACTAAGAGTATACAGGTAGTCGTTGAGTATTTTCAGTTCCTAACTGACCACCCAGTTGGACAAGGTGGAATATTTACTATCTGCGTTATATTTTCACATTATTTGGCACAAATAATGGCCCGAAGTCATAATTGCGTGACTTTACGTTATGTTACAACGGCTTATTATAGAAGAGTAGGTGTTATATCTCAACCAAATGTTCAGTGGAAAACGCGTTTTAGCATGCGATGGATTGCTGTATCACAGGCCTTTTAATGCGGCGTCACGCTATATAACCGTGGCAAGTTACCGAGTTATTTATTTTAAACCCTGACGCAAAAAGTAAACTTATATTAATAGTTAACAACAAGCCTTCGTCTGTTTGCCTGTTTTTGTTTGCATCTATGGCATCACAGCGCACGAATGGATTTCAATTAGATTTTTCCTTAACAAAAAGAATAATTGAAATTATTATTAAGTGCCTACTAGATAGATAAAATTGTAAGCAAAAAACATTTGCCGTATATTTTTATCCTGATGAAATACAATAATAGGATAAAAAGTGTTTTCCTAAATTGCTGGATATTATACCAAAATGAATTTTAGATTGTTTATCTTAAATTCTTAAATACTTAATAATTCAACATCATTCGTTCAAAGCACGCATTACAGATCACAGCACTTTTAAAAGACGAAAAGATACGCTAAGTTTATTAAAAACTGGAAAAAAATATCTGTAGGATACTTAAATGTTTACATTCGCTCCCAAGCAACTGATTTTATGCAGTTTTCATTAAAAGATACATTGATTCAAGAGGAATGTTTAAAGTAAAAGGCAGAAAGAGACTTATGAAATGCGACGCCACCCCACGCCAAGCGAAACGTTTTTTCTATGGCGCATCGCATCGCGTCGAATGTTCCTAATGTGATTCTGATCATTACAAGATAGTACATTTTGATTGGACTCCACACGCGTGGCATGGCGTCGCATTTCTTAAGTCTTTTTCGGTCATGACAAAAACATGCCCAAAAACAACAATTATAGTCTACACCGAAAGACAGCCAGGGCGGCCCATTCAATAATTGTGATGATCGTGATGATATTGGCCTTAAAGCACATGATAGTAAAATAAAAAAATCTTACTTACTTTACGTTATTCCTCATGTTGAAGTTCGTAGATATGTATTCTGCGTCCCCACTGTAACAAAGAAAACACAATTTAACAATAAAAGGAGAGAGGAGGAATAATAAAGACCTTTACTAGTTAACTATTAATTTGTTAATGAATGCTTCTACAGTTTTCCTTTCAATAGAATAGACGAACGCCGCTAATGTAACAGGAAGTTCAAACAGTGTTAGTCCTTGAAGTAACCATGTTTCTCGGTCATTGCACTTAATAAGTAGAATGCAATTTCCACTGATTATCTAGGAAAACAATGGAGTCCCACGCCGCCCGGGACACATCGCGTATCAAACGAAACGAGAAAACGCACGTACCTACATCCAGGACGTAAATAAATACAACTAAGAACAGATGTATTACATCTAAACAAACAGAAATTAACTACATAGCTAAAGATGCGCGTGAAATGGTACTTTTTTACTGTGATAGCCTGCTTTGTTAAAAGAACCGCCATAGCAAAGCCAGCCAAGAGTAACAAAGTCCGGTTAGACGACTATAGGAAGGTTGGTAGCAGCGTCGACGACGTGACTTACATGGTATATCGTGTGCAAGGCGTTTTCTAATATCAGTAATAGGGTGATTTCAAATGAGCAGTTTCCTACTTCGTATAACACGAACGTTTCCTTCTGAGTAAATGAGCTTAAGTGCGGCCGATGCGCAAATGCATCGAGATGAGATGCGTTCGAGTGAGCGGTGGCGTTATTGGATATTTACCTGTAGGTACTCGTACTTAGCTACTCTGTAGGCTACTTTTTACAGTACTAATCAGATTACTCTGTGATCGAAGTCTTAAAACTGTTATTGTGATCTACAGTATCAACGTGCTGGACAAATAAAACAAAATAATGATATAAAAAAAAGTACTTTTAACTCCTACTCCAGAGGATGAAGTTTAATATCAAACCATCATTACTTGATGAGAATGAGACACTTACCAACTCCCATATTAAGCACTACAAAAAGGATAATTTGCTTATAAAATCTTTCATCCTCATTTGTACGCCAAGGAAAAGGTAGGTATAATTTAAAAAATATAGACCCAGATATTTTTTAATTGTTTTTTTTTTTAATTAAATAGCAAAATTTTAAGACCTCTGGAATTATGATGACTTTCAGCTTACGTACGTACCAAATTTTCATAATGACCTGAAAAAAATTACAGATTTTCATTCAACTTTACATTCCGTATATTTTTTGCCTTCTTGGTGTCAACTTACTATATTAAAGGAATCTTTGTGCAAAATCTTATGATTTTAGGTCCAGCGGTTTTGGCTGACTGTTAATCAATCAGTCAATTAGTCTCACAAAACATATTTTTGGAAAGTTTAAAGAAAACTGGATGGCGCACAGGAGAATTATTGCCTTTAAATAGTGGTACGCACCTACTTCTTCTGTACACTCCTGATGTTTCTAAAAAACCCTGCTAATTAAATAATATCTAGATAAACTATGTGGGATGATTGCATGCTCCTAATTATGGTTATTTGCGTGCTCATAACCATGAAATATTGTATGGAACAAAAAATTATATTATGTTTTTTTTGTACCTGTACCTATAGTAAATACTTTGTTTGCGTGAGCATTTCACTAACAGGGTCTAGTTTGCGGTCCTAATGTTCGACATCACGTGATGACCGGTGAAATTTGAACTTTATACTTATGGCTATAAGGAGTACAGATGTTTACTTATATTGACACCAATTGGAATATAGTAGCGAGTAACTAGCAAATCAAGGGAGAGTAGGCCGTACTGTAGGTGGTATGGAGATATAGGTAGGGTACTGGTACAAACAACTGCAAAGATATGGTAGCTCATTTCTTTTATTCCCATAATGGAAGGTATCCATCTTTTTATCCCGTAAAGCTCTGGTAATTTACAATATCAAAAACAAAAGATACAACAAGATATTTTTCCGATATCGCAAATAAATATGGACCAACGCATCAACACAGCTCGAATTTGTTCACCAACTTAACTAGGGTGCATAATTCAAATAAATGATTAAAATGTCGAATTTTTATGTTTTTTATTTTCACAATATTTTTTATTATATTTTATAACTTTTTTTCTGTTATCTTGTTTGAATTGTCTTTAAGAACCCTCACTCTGATACCCCGCTTGATGAGCCTTACGCAAGTTTTTTTCATTTCGGAGCAGACATTTTATATTTTGAAAATTTTAATATACCTAGCTAGGCGATAAATCTCGTTTCTATACCAAGAACCCACTGCATACTATATACTGCATATAATTACCACGAATAAAAAGACACCTCGTTTGTCAAAATCCGTCAAGCCATAAATAAATAAGCCGTTCAAGCTGTAGGGCATGTCAAAGAAATAGAAAATATTGACTTCCGCAGTCGGATAAATGAGTGATAATCATTAATTTTCTAATGAAGTGCAAAATTAAGCTTCATGTTTTATTATAAAATATTGCGTGGGGTATTACTGGTGATTAAGATGCTAATGCAAAAAAAAATTAAACAAAAAATGAATCCGACTGCAAAACATTAACCAGATATTATTTTTTACTTTTCTTTAGTTCCATTTTAGATCGGTTTTATTTTTTGTTTAATTTTTTTTTATTTCATCCATCTTAGTGAAAATTACGTCATCTAAGTAAACAATAACACAATTGACGGAGAAATCGGTGAACATGCATAAAAAAATATCGTGCGTGACTTTGAAATTTGAAGGTTTCCCTCGATTTCCCCTGATTCCACCATCGGATCCTGACTTGGTCTCAATGGGACCACCTCGGAAGTGTACTCTTTCGAATAAAAAAGAATTTTGGAAATCTGTCCACAATTGACGGAGAAATCAGTGAACATGCATAAAAATATATATGTGTATATTTATATACACATATATATTTTTAATAATTTTTATAGTCAAACACAGAACCTCCTCCTTTTTTGAAGTCGGTTAAAAAGTAGTAATAACGTCTGTCTGTAAATCAATTACATGTTTTGATTAGAGGAAAACCGGGAGATTTGCCTAGGTGGGAGATGTGTACCATCTTTCCAAATTGTACAATGGTCTGCAAAACTAAGTATCTTATTTTTTTTTTATTAACTACAAGAAGTTGATGTTTTAAAAAGAACGTTATATAATAAATTTTATCGGCTTTCTTTGAAACTATTGAATTATACATTAGTAATTTAGAGTCCTTTTTATTTCGAAAGTATATCTTGTGTTCTTAAATATTTATTTAAGTTTCAAAAGTTTGATACTTAGTTCGTTCATGAATACAAAAAGTCAATTCACGTTTTGTTTGTGGTAAATTTAAATAGAATTTTGAAAGATGGTTCAACTGCTTCAATTCTCCCCCTCGGCAAAGTCTCCCGGTTTTCCCCTAAACCTTCATGATATATGTTTAAAAATATCCTTATAATTTAAACTTTAAAAACAGAAAGTTGGCTACTATATTAACTGGCATATTCTTAAGAACACATCTGTTATCCATAAGCTAATTTTCTTACAACCATTACAAAACATTTAGGTAGATATTGCTTAAATGGAATCCCTGGAAACGAAGTTGATATTGTCAGAACAATTATTAAAGAAACGACAGATTTGGCCGCCGCCCTGTAACATATACGAGTAGTTTACGTTAGTTATTAGGAGTTGTGACCATAGATTTAGGATATCCCTGTTAGTTTATCAAAGTTTTTCTCAATGTCAAGAAATCGAAAAAGTTTCTGTTAAATTTCCAATTGTGAAAGTTATTTCGAAATTCATACTGTAATTCTAATTTAATCTAAAAGATGACCTACTGCATCGAAAACAAAGGTCAAATTTCAAACAGCTTTGATCCACATTAATACAGTTTCCTTGTTATTAGAAGATTCTAAGTGCAATCAAGAATTCTTCATAGAAGAAAACTTGTCTGTTTTGACATTTTTAAGCGAAGTATCGGGCAAGTGGCTCAGGAATCAGTTTGTTCGATAGAACATAGAAAAACTCAACACCTTTTTTATGAACAGATTAATCTTAAAAATAAATGAATAATCATAACACCTAGCTGTCGGCAGTGCAGCAGAAACTAATTTATTATCAGTCAAGTTAAAGCGGAAGTTAATATTTCAAGTATATTTTAACGTGGATTAAATTTGACTAACTGAAGCACGTCATTTAAGTTACTTTCAACATTTATTTAAATACATTAAAATTTTAACTATTGTAGGAATTTAATAATTCATATTTACTGAATTGCTCAATTGAATCGATGAGCTCGATGGCGTATTGGTTAGTGTATTAGCCTGCAATCGTGAAAGTTAAGCAACTTCCACAATGGCCGCTCGTAAGATGGGTGACGAAGAATTCGGCATAGTTGTACCTTAGAGCCAGGAGTTAAATTTTACTATAAATTTTATCGGTCTCGCTTGGACAGTTATAATCACTGTCAAATTATGAAAAATTTGACTATAGTCAAATGGTGCAAACCATTTTTTTACCTAACCGGTACTTTAACTGAACAGTTAAAGTCAATAGTATCAATAAGCACCCAGAGGGTAATTGCACGTTCTCCATAATCAATCCATTGATAAGGCTCGTGTTTCAACAATGGTGACATTAATATAATAGACTGGTTATAATAAATTGAATAGTTCACGGTTTGAATTGATTTTGATTTTATTAATATGATAACAGGTACAAATACATGTGGTTACGCATTAACTTCTAGTAACAAAAATAATGTTGTACGTAAAAGAATATGTATAAGTATTGCAAGAGAAATTAAACCTCCAAAGTGGACCGACGAACTTACCTACTTCAACTCAAAAGCTAAAAAGCTCGTAAGCTTAATTTGTTTTGAATATAGTTTGCATTGCCAAAACTAATCAGAAAGTATTTTATTAAATAAGCCTTTGCCTTTTATTATTTTCCATGCTTAGATAGTATCTGTCTTATATTTACAAAAACATGTGGTTCGGCAGAGAGTATAAAGAAGTTCTTCTTAAAATCTAATATATATATATATATAAATAAGTAATTTCCTCCACTAAGCA